GCAGAGTGAAGGCATCTTGTGGAGACATCATGCAGAAAGCAAAACAGAACATGCTCAGCTAAGGCAGGATGCACTCTTCCAGAGTGCAGCAACAAGCTCTTCATCAGCGACATTGCAGGTCAGTTGGCTTCAAGCAGTGCGCAGTCAGCGGTAGGCAAACAATTCAAGTCGGAGCAAAGCAACTGGGCATGGACAGTGGAGTACCTGGAACATGTTTCAGCAGATATCGGATTCTTTTTTAAAGAAAATTTTTTTTTTTTTTAGTGAACTTAAGATTTTTTTCATGTACTTTTTGATCTGCTCAGTTCTGTCGTTAGTGAATGAGTTTGTCATTTTAAAACAGGGATCTCGTTTTTGAACGACTATATAGCTGTTATTTTCTTAAACGGTAGAAATTGTTTTGGAACGATGTTTAAGTCGTTTTAATTTTGAATGAGTTTGTTGTTTGGGTACGACTAAGTTGTTGAAACTTTTGTCGTAATTCAACAATCTTTTCTAACAGTGAACCGTTGGCAATTTTTCTGCCGGAGGATCCGTCGTTTATTCCGGACATTAATTTTTACTGTGTTTGACATGTAGTAGCTTACTTTCCACTCACCCGCAGGCGCGGGTAGCCGGAGGGGGACACCCCTGAAATTGGCATGACTCGAAAGTCAGTGCATTTTGTGGCGTGATTTGGAAGATAATGAAATGTGTGACAAAACTTTGAGATACGCCTGGGGCACTTTCCAACTGAGGGTCAGGGCGGGAAGAAAACGGACACCTGCAAAGTGGGAAAGAAACGCACACCCCACTTATTGTGGAACGTGTTTAAGTATTCAGTATTGCTCACTGTTGGTCAGCGAGGAATTCAGCCTACTAGAACCAGAAAGTGCAAAAAAAATTTAAAGTTTCCAAACTGTTTCAGTTAACTTGTTAAACAGGATTTCTCAAAATTTCTCGGAGACTTAAAAGCATAGAAAAGAAAACATTTCCCCTGATCAATATATTAAATCGTCGTGAGAAATATAGCCGCCTTTCAACATCAAGTGCCAAGATTTTAAGAAAAGTTACTTGAAAAGTCTGCCGTCTTAACCCTGCCCCATCCCACGACAGGCACCGTGTCAGATATTGAGACATATATTTCGCGTAGATATTATTCTATGGGGAAATACACTGTTAGAAATTTTGTCGTAATTTAACGACAAATTTGTCGCTAATTTTTTTTTCTAACACGAGTTGTTTATTAACGACATGATTTGTTTAAAAACAACTAGTCGCAACCAAAAAGTTGTTTGTGAAAGACAAATTTGTTTGGGAACAATAAATGATTAACAACTTCATCATCAATAAAAAAGCTCGTTTAAAAACGAAATCCCTGTTTTAAAATGACAAACTCGTTCACTAACGACAAAACTGAGCAGATCAAAAATAACATGAAAAAAATTTTTAGTTCACTCAAAAAAAAAATATTCCTTTGAGAAAGAATCTGAAATCTGCTAAAACATGTTCCCGGTACTCCACTGTCCATGCCCAGTTGCTTTGGTCCGAGTTGAATTGTTTGCCTACCGCTGACTGCGCACTGCTTGAAGCCAACTGACCTGCTATGTCGCTGATGAAGAGCTTGCTGCTGCACTCTGGAAGAGTGCATCCTGCCTTAGCTGAGCATGTTCTGATTTGCTTTCTGCATGATGTCTCCACAAGATGCCTTCACTCTGCACTGCTTTGATTGTAAGAGCTCTGCTTAATGAAAATAGAACTTAAAAGCATTCAGTGGCTTCCAACTGAGGTCAGGGCGGGAAGAAAGACACTGAAATGGGAAAGAAACGCTCCCACTTATTGTGGAACGTGTTTAAGTATTCAGTATTGCTCACTGTTGGTCCGAGGAATTCAGCCTACTAGAACCAGAAGTGCAAAAAAAATTTAAAGTTTCCAAACTGTTTCAGTTAACTTGTTAAAGTTTCTCAAAATTCTCGGAGACTTAAAAGCATAGAAAAGCAAACATTCCCTGATCAATATTTTAAATCGTCGTGAGAAATATAGCCGCCTTTCAACATCAAGTGCCAAGATTTTAAGAAAAGTTACTGAAAAGTCTGCCGTCTAACCCTGCCCCATCCACGACAGGCACCGTGTCAGATATTGAGACTATATTTCGCGTAGATATTATTCTATGGGAAATACACTGTTAGAAATTTGTCGTATTCACGACAATTTGTCGCTAATTTTTTTTTCTAACACGAGTTTATACGACATGATTTGTTTAAAAACAAATAGTCGCAACCAAAAAGTTGTTGTGAAAGACAAATTGTTTGGGAACAATAAATGATTAACAATTCATCATCAATAAAAAAGCTCGTTTAAAAACGAAATCCCTGTTTTAAAATGACAAACTCGTTCACTAACGACAAAACTGAGCAGATCAAAAATAATGAAAAAATTTTTAGTTCACTCAAAAAAAAAATTCCTTGAGAAAGAATCTGAAATCTGCTTAAACATGTTCCCGTACTCCACTGTCCATGCCCATGCTTTGGTCCGAGTTGAATTGTTTGCCTACCGCTGACTGCGCACTGCTTGAAGCCAACTGACCTGCAATGTCGCTGATGAAGACTTGTTGCTGCACTCTGGAAGAGTGCATCCTGCCTTAGCTGAGCATGTTTGTTTTGGTCTGCATGATGTCTCCACAAGATGCCTTCACTCTGCCCTGCTTTGATTGTAAGAGCTCTGCTTAATAAAAATAGAACTTAAAAGACTCAGTGGCTTGGTCAAGTGTGAGAACTAAATCTTTAACCTATTTTGTATTTCTCTTGTCACGTCAAAGAACGAGAAATAGGGTGCTCCCTCTTCTACTTTCACTTTCATTGTCACTTGTTGTATTCTCATATTGAATTTTTCATACACAGTGGTCGGTGTGCGTGTGTTTGTTTTGGTGACCGTTGTTGTCTCAAATTTAATGTTTTCACCCCAAGTTTGCTAAATTGTGAGGAGATATTGGACTGTTTCACTCCCCATGGATTACTTGGCCCGGCCCTATCATGCGTTTCCACGCCCGGGGGACGTTTGTTTTTGTGTTGCCACAAAGAACTTGATGGAAAGTTGTGAAGTTTCCCAGTGGCCTACTGTTCCCCATGGCCATCAACACAAACTTCGAAGTGCAGTGTATTTCGTTGTCTCCTGGACGTGACAAGAGGCAAACGTGCAAGAAAAAGTTAAAGATTTAGTTCTCACACTTGACCAAGCCACTGAATGCTTTTAAGTTCTATTTTCATTAAGCAGAGCTGTTACAATCAAAGCAGTGCAGAGTGAAGGCATCTTGTGGAGACATCATGCAGAAAGCAAATCAGATCATGCTCAGCTAAGGCAGGATGCACTCTTCCAGAGTGCAGCAGCAATCTCTTCATCAGCGACATAGCAGGTCAGTTGGCTTCAAGCAGTGCGCAGTCAGCGGTAGGCAAACAATTCAACTCGGCCCAAAGCAACTGGGCATGGACAGTGGAGTACCGGGAACATGTTTAAGCAGATTTCAGATTCTTTTTTAAGGGAATAATTTTTTTTTTTTGAGAGAACTAAAAATTTTTTTCATGTAATTTTTGATCTGCTCAGTTTTGTCGTTAGTGAATGAGTTTGTCATTTTAAAACAGGGATCTCGTTTTTGAGCGACTATATAGCTGTTATTTTCTTAAACGGTAGAAATTGTTTTGGAACGATGTTTTAGTCGTTTTAATTTTGAATGAGTTTGTTGTTTGGGTACGACTAAGTTGCACTGTAAAAATTAATGTCCGGAATAAACGACGGATCCTTCGGCAAAAAAATTGCCAACGGTTCCTTCGTTAATTTACGAAGCTCTTCGTATATTTACAAAAACCTTCGTTAATTTTTTGAACGATCTCTGTCGATTTTACTATCACAATAGAAATTTACGAAGCACCTTTGAAAATTTACAGGGAACCTTCGTTAATAAACAAAGAACCTTCGTTAATATACAGAGAACCTTCGTAATTATACGTCTGGAATTAACGACGGATCCTTCGGCAAAAAAATTGCCAACAGATCCTTCGTTTATTTACGAAGGTCCGCCGTAGATTTACGAAGACCCGTCGTAGATTAACGAAGCCCGTCGTAAATTTACGAAGCCCTTCGTTAATTTACAACAGACTTTGTACATTTACGAATTTTCTTCGTAAATTTACTAAGAACCTTCGTAAATTAAAGACAAACTTCCGTTGATTTATAAAAGTTCATGAAGGAAAGAAACATTTTACAGTGCACTTTTGGACATTCCCAAAAACCTTCGGAAAACATTCCGTCGTAAATTCACAACATAATTTTTACAGTGTGTTGAAACTTTTGTCGTAATTCAACAATCTTTTCTAACAGTGTGCGCGCAGGATTTCAAATCCAAATGTTGTCCCACAAATCTGACGAAGTTGCCACATCTTTTTATGGTCAAAATGAAGAAGACAAGGGAGCCGGATTTCAAAAACATGTTTTCTTTCGGTATTAATCTTGAAAACTAGAATCATGACTGTTTTATGCCGCTTTTGGACATTCATTGACCTGTAATTAAAGATTGAGACACATATTTGAAAAAAACTCTCCCTTGTCTTCGAGCTATTTTAAGCTGTCGCACAACATTCTACCTCTTTTGGTCTCCGAACTATCCTACGCGCAAGGTCAATAAAAATCTTACAGAGAAAAACCGGTTTGAAGTTAAGGGGCCTCACCTAACCTCACAGTGATTGTACGAATTAAAAGCTCCCTATGCCGATTGGACGGTCCTGTGGGTCGAAATATGGTGAGGTTTGGTTGTACCAAGGCCCAAAGAGTCGAAATAAAGCAAAAACCGGTAATCGATTCCGTACCCCCGAAGTGAGCACTGGTACAACACAAACACAAAACGTCCAGACACTTGAGTCATGCCACTGCATTTACTGTGTCATAGTTAATAATTTGCGTTAGGTTGCTGTTGCAGTAAGTGTGTACATCGTCCAAGTCTTCAATTTAATTTATTTGTGTCATTCTAGCTGCAAGCTGCTTACCAGGGAATGCTACGTTTTCTGTGGCCCTCGGTAAATACTGGAGTTCAGAGGACGATCAAAAAATCGATCACCTAAGAGTAAGTGCAATCACTGGTAGCCAAGGAATGTGATGTCACGTTTGTTTTCACGTGAAAACGGCGATGTTAGTTTGAGTGTAACAAACGGTGAAAATTTACAGTCAAACGAATGTGACACACCGCGCCGCTTTGTCACATCACTCCGGGTGTGACACGCAATCAGCTGTCGAGCTATCACATAACGAATGTGACACATGGTACCCCCATGGTACCACCCATGGTACCCATGGTACACATGTCGTGTCTATCCAAACGAATGTGACACCCATGTACTGTCACGTTCGTTTGAATGTGACATGCCCACTTTGTTACATTCAAACGAACTCGACACCCCTTAATCTGACAGTCATGGCGTGTCACATTCAAACGAACGTGACAAAGTGGGCATGTCACATTTAAACGAATGTGACTGTACATGGATGTCACATTCTTTTGGATGTGACATGACATGTGTACTTGTGTACCATTTGTCGCATTCGTTTTAATGTGACAGTTCAACAGCTGATTGCGTGTCACACCCGTAGTAATGAGACAAAGCGGTGCGGTAAATCACACTCGTTTGACTGTAAATTTTCACCGTTTGTCACGCTCAAACTAACATCGCCGTTTTCACGTGAAAACGAACGTGACGTCACATTCCTTGGCTACCAGTGAACGGTCTTCTTCTTTTATTCAACTACACAGCCTCTCGAGTGCACATGGTACACATAAGAGGCTGCCTTGAATTTTAAGCTAACGAGCATCGACTTGCCAGGTATGCAATAAATACGAAGTTGGCAGCACAATTCACCCCTCGCTAGCGCATGTGCATTGTAAGGGAGAGTGGGGTGATTCGTAACAAATGCGTATAATAATTTAAGTGGAGGGAGCAGAGGAAAATCTGAGTATGGCCCCTCTTTCGCCTAAGAATAGAGGGTCCTTGAACAATCGAAGCGGATGTGATCGGTGCTCAGGTTTAGTTTTGGAGGGCGTCCGAAATATAGGGCACACCGAAAACAGGCAAATCTTTTATTTGAGTTCTAGGAGGTTTCTGTCTGAGGCTCCCCAGGTATGAATCACCATCAACCTACCGTTGGGGCCTTGAAGCGTGACCCCTTTACAATGTGACCACGTGGCATAAGTTGCCTTTGCTTCGTCCAGTGATAGTTAGGGACGCATTTCTTGCGTAGCAGGCATTCGTAACAGACCCGTATAAAAACAAGAATTTAGTTTTTGCAATTAAATGCTTGAATTATTTCTCGAATCATCTGCTGCCTTATTCCAGTACATTTACACAGCTCAAAATGCCTTTTAAAGCGAGTTATTCTAATCTTTTCTCCAAAATTGAAAAAAGGTGAGGTTAGGTTTGACATAGCCGATCATAGCCGATCAATTGATGCTGAGGCGGTCAACGGCAGCTTGTAATGTAGATTATAAGGCGTCTGCAGGACATCCGAAGAACAACTGCTGGAGGAGATGAGCAGTTCTCGCGAAATGGTTAATTTTGGGCCCTGAAACTTTTTGAAAAAAAAGTTCAATTGAAACCGGGTTTTTTGCATTTATCTTGTTAAGAACATCACTAGGGATCATGGATTCATCGGGGCGAGCTATCACCCCAATAATATAGGAAATATCGCAATTTTAATTTTTTTGCCGTCCACGGAAATTACACAGCCTCAGAAACTGTCCACGGAAATTACATTTTAATGGGCCCTTAGAATAGGTGCGATACGAACGCAAACGCCTAGCAGTTTAGGCAGCTCCCTCCACATCTGTGCATTCTGGTTCCATGTTGCGTACCTCACAATAAAATTTCGGGCTAGACCACAATTTGATCGTATGCCGTTTCGGGCCCGACACATGCCCGCGTGCACTGCCAAACGGGACACGGCCGTCCTTACTGGGGTGCCACGTTATACTGGCGGAGAAGAACCTCGTGCGGCTACGGGGGGGGGCACCCTAGAACAGCCTCTTTGAGCAGGACTGGGTCCGGTGTCCACCTCTCCCGGCTCAATTCCCTTGTCTCGGGAACAACTGGGAATTCATTTTCACGGTTGCATAGTGTTTACCTCCCAGGCGGTACCTCTCACACTTGGCAAATGATGGGCCCTAGAGTGGACAACGGAGGAAAGTCCCTCTTGATCAGCTCCTGCGTGTCTATGTTCGGAAAATATTAAATAACTCGCGCTGCTCGCTGGGGGCTCCGCCCCCAGACCCCCACATGTGTGGAGCGCGTGCCGAAGTATTTTCAGTAAGTCCGTGGTGGCAAAGGCAAATTTTCTAAGGAAGTAAATGTCCTGATTCTTTGAAAGCTCTATTTAACCGTTTTTGACCATATAATAAGGCTACTTTTACTGCCCAAATAGATAGCTTGTATTGCATTGGCTACTGTGGCAGTCAATGGGCGCATACAAGGTCCGGAAAATATTGAAGACTACCGGTGACGGGGATCAGATTGCGGCACAGTTTTGGAAATGTCTCGACCAGACCTAGCGATAGGGCGAATAAAAATTTTCAGTCGGTCGGTCCCCTTTTTCGAAGATTGAGTGCGTTTGCTCGGAAACGGTGAGGAATTTGGTCCCCTTTTTTGAAGATTAAGTAGGTTTGCTCGGAAACGGTGAGGAATTTTGAACTTTTGGTATTTTTGGTATTGAATGGAAAAAACCGCAAGTCTCTACGACCACTCTTTGACCCCAAACATTTCTGTGAGTGAGTCAGTGAGTCAGTCAGTCGGTTTGGGGCTTTATAGGTTCTTGATGACAATTGATGATTGATTTTGAGAATGTTGCCGGTGACGGGGACCCGATTGCGGCACAGTTTCGGAAATGTCTCGACCAGACCTACCGATGGGGCGAATAAAAATTTTTAGTCGGTCGGTCTCCTTTTTTTAAGATTGAGTGGATTTTGTTGAATTTAGGCCTATTTAATCGTTTTTGAAGATGTTGCCGGTGACGGGGACCCGAATGCGGCACAGTTTCGGAAATGTCTCGACCAGACCTACCGATGGGGCGAATAAAAATTTTTAGTCGGTTGGTCCCCTTTTTTGAAGATTGAGTGGATTTTGTTGAATTTAGTCCTATTTAATCGTTTTTGAGGATGTTGCCGGTGACGGGGACCCGATTGCGGCACAGTTTTGGAAATGTCTCGACCAGACCTACCGATGGGGCGAATAAAAATTTTTAGTCGGTTGGTCCCCTTTTTTGAAGATTGAGTGGATTTTGTTGAATTTAGGCCTATTTAATCGTTTTTTAGGATGTTGCCGGTGACGGGGACCCGATTGCGGCACAGTTTCGGAAATGTCTCGACCAGACCTACCGATGGGGCGAATAAAAATTTTTAGTCGGTCGGTCCCCTTTTTTGAAAATTGAGTGGATTTTGTTGAATTTAGGCCTATTTAATCGTTTTTGAGGATGTTGCCGGTGACGGGGACCCGATTGCGGCACAGTTTCGGAAATGTCTCGACCAGACCTACCGATGGGGCGAATAAAAATTTTTAGTCGGTCGGTCCCCTTTTTTGAAGATTGAGTGGATTTTGTTGAATTTAGGCCTATTTAATCGTTTTTTTTTTTGAGGATGTTGCCAGTGACGGAGACCGGATTGCGGCACAAATTCGGAAATGTCTCGACCAGACCTACCGATGGGGTGAATAAAAATTTCTAGTCGGTCGGTCCCCTTTTTTGAAGATTGAGTAGGTTTGCTCGGAAACGGTGAGAAATTTGTTCCCCTTTTTTGTAGATAAAGTAGGTTTTCTCGGAAACGGTGAGGAATTTTCAACTTTTGGGATTTTTCCCAATTTTCCCATAAAATTTGGAATCGAATGGAAAAAACCGCAAGTCTCTACGACCACTCCTTCACCCCAAACATTTCTATGAGTGAGTCAGTGAGTGAGTCAGTCGGATTGGGGCTTTATAGGTTCTTGATGACTCGCGCTGCTCGCTGGGGGCTCCGCCCCCAGACCCCCGCATGTGTGGGGCGCGTGCCGAAGTATTTTCAGTAAGTCCGTGGTGACCAAAGGCTTTTCTAAGGAAGTAAATGTACTGCTTCTTTGAAAGGTCTATTTAACAGCTTTTAACCATATAATTAAGCTACTTTTACTGCCCAAATAGATAGCTTGTATTGCATTGGCTACTGTGGCAGTCAATGGGTGCATACAAGGTCCGGAAAATATTGAAGACTGCTTTGACAAGGATAGAGGTGAATGGAAAAAACCGCAAGTCTCTACGACCACTCCCTTGACCCCTATAACATTTCTACGAGTAAGTGAGTCAGTCAGTCAGTCAGTCGGATTGGGGCTATATAGATTCTTGACTTGATGATGATGATTTTCCCAATTGCCGGTGGCGGGGACCCGACTGCGGCACAGTTTCGGAAATTCTCGACCAGACCCACCGACCGATGGGGCAAATAAAAATTTTTAGTCGGTCGATCCCCTTTTTTGAAGATTGAGTGGATGTTGTTGAATTTAGGCCTATTTAGTCGTTTTTGAGGATGTTGCCGGTGACAAGAACCCGATTGCGGCACAGTTTCGGAAATGTCTCGACCAGACCTACCGATGGGGCGAATAAAAATTTTTAGTCGGTCGGTCCCCTTTTTTGAAGATTGAGTGGATTTTGTTAAATTTAGGCCTATTTAATCGTTTTTGAGGATGTTTACGGTGACGGGGACCCGATTGCGGCACAGTTTCGGAAATGTCTCGACCAGACCTACCAATGGGGCAAATAAAAATTTTTAGTCGGTCGGTCCCCTTTTTTGAAGATAGAGTGGATTTTGTAGAATTTAGGCCTATTTAATCGTTTTTGAGGATGTTGCCGGGGACGGGGACCCGATTGCGGCACAGTTTCGGAAATGTCTCGACCAGACCTACCGATGGGGGGAATAAAAATTTTTAGTCGGTCGGTCCCCCTTTTTTTAAGATTGAGTGGATTTTGATAAATTTAGGCCTATTTAATCGTTTTTGAGGATGTTGCTGGTGACCAGGACCCGATTGCGGCACAGTTCCAGAAACCGCTCGACCAGACCTACCGATGGGGCGAATAAAATTTTTTAGTCGGTCGGTCCCCTTTTTTTAAGATTGAGTGGACTTTGATAAATTTAGGCCTATTTTAAACGTTTTTGAGGATGTTGCCGGTGACGGGAACCCGATTGCGGCACAGTTTCGGAAATGTCTCGACCAGACCTACCGATGGGGTGAATAAAAAATTTTTTGTCGGTCGGTCCCCTTTTTTGAAGATTGAGTGGATTTTGTTGAATTTAGGCCTATTTAATCGTTTTGAGGATGTTGCCGGTGACGGGGACCCGATTGCGGCACAGTTTCGGAAATGTCTCGACCAGACCTACCGATGGGGCGAATAAAAAATTGTAGTCGGTCGGTCCCCTTTTTTGAAGATTGAGTGGATTTTGTTGAATTTAGGCCTATTTAATCGTTTTTGAGGATGTTGCCGGTGACGGGGACCCGATTGCGGCACAGTTTCGGAAATGTCTCGACCAGACCTACCGATGGGGCGAATAAAAAAATTTTTGTCGGTCGGTCCCCTTTTTGAAGATTGAGTGGATTTTGTTGAATTTAGGCCTATTTAATCGTTTTTGAGGATGTTGCCGGTGACGGGGACCCGATTGCGGCACAGTTTCGGAAATGTCTCGACCAGACCTACCGATGGGGCGAATAAAAAAATTTTTGTCGGTCGGTCCCTTTTTTGAAGATTGAGTGGATTTTGTTGAATTTAGGCCTATTTAATCGTTTTTGAGGATGTTGCCGGTGACGGGGACCCGATTGCGGCACAGTTTCGGAAATGTCTCGACCAGACCTACCGATGGGGCGAATAAAAATTTTTAGTCGGTCGGTCCCCTTTTTTGAAGATTGGGTGGATTTTGTTGAATTTAGGCCTATTAAATCGTTTTTTGGGGGTGTTGCCGGTGACGGGGACCCGATTGCGGCACAGTTTCGGAAATGTCTCGACCAGACCTACCGATGGGGCGAATAAAAAATTTTTTGTCGGTCGGTCCCCTTTTTTGAAGATTGAGTGGATTTTGTTGAATTTAGGCCTATTTAATCGTTTTTTGAGGATGTTGCCAGTGACGGAGACCGAAATGCGGCACAGATTCGGAAATGTCTCGACCAGACCTACCGATAGGGCGAATAAAAATTTTTAGTCGGTCGGTCCCCTTTTTTGAAGATTGAGTAGGTTTGCTCGGAAACGGTGAGAAATTTGTTCCCCTTTTTTGTAGATAAAGTAGGTTTTCTCGGAAACGGTGAGGAATTTTCAACTTTCGGGATTTTTCCCAATTTTCCCATAAAATTTGGAATCGAATGGAAAAAACCGCAAGTCTCTACGACCACTCCTTCACCCCAAACATTTCTATGAGTGAGTGAGTGAGTGAGTGAGTGAGTCAGTGAGTCAGTCGGATTGGGGCTTTATAGGTTCTTGATGGGTGCGATCAGTTGAGGAAAAGTTGATCGGCGGGTCGAGACAGCGTCCCGCTCGCGGTGCGGTCTATTTAGCCCTCCTGGAAGCATATCTGGCACCCACGTTTACTAACCTATATTTTCGGAAAGATTTCTCTTTGAGTTTGAGGAACAGATTGCTGCAATTTATTCGATAAACTGGGTCTTAGCATTCGAACGGCAAGCTTAGGAAAGACGTCATGTTGCTTAACATATCGGTCAGGTTAAGTCCACCGCAAGTCTTAAACGGTCAGCTAGATCCCAAAATACAGCGAGCCTATTTTTCGCAAGACATTAAGCTTTTGGTTAAGCTTTCCGATCTGAATAATCAACGTTGAACGGTTTCACTGACTCGCAGTCACAACTGTCAAGGCAGTATGCCGGCCGCGCCGAACAAGGCAGCATAAAACCGCTTGGTTGTCCAGAAAATACAGTGTTTGACCAATCTGATGAGTGGAGTCGAAAGCTTAGACTCTTGCAAAAAGTCGGCTCGCTGCTCGTTTGGGTCCATTTTGTGACTTGCGGCGGGTTTAACCTGATGGATGTTGTGTTAAACTACGCCACGACTTTCCTTAGCTTGCCTTCCCATTCCCCATGCCCATTTCCCTCCAGGATGGCATTCCCTCCATAAGAGAGGTTTAAAACAGAAAAATATCGACATACTTTAGAGCTGAGGCCCCTTGCGAGGCCAAAATCACGTGAAACGCAACGAAAACCTCATTTTGTCCACGGAAATTACAGTCCACGGAAATTACATTATTGCATAAAATGGGGTGTACAAGCCAAACCAGAAGTGCCACCGGAACCAAAATTTTACTGGAACAACTTGTCCACAAGGGAAACACACAAGGATTGGTTCGCAATCAAAATTTTGAATGGTCTGCAAGCAATGGGTGGAACGGAAATTACACTTATTGCTTGCTAGGCCAATTTTTTCGCCGCTTTGGAACTTATTTAACTTTATATTTTCCGTTCTAATGGTGCCACATTACTCCGCCACTTTGCAAATTGTGTAGAACGAATGCACCAACAATATGAGAAAAGTTTCAGAACGGTCGCACATAAGGTAGAAAAACCGTCCCAAAAAAAACGATTTTAGACTTTTTGAATTTTAGTTGTGGAAGACAATTTTCGGAATCATCTTGTGTCTGCAAATTTTACCCGAGAGATACGTTCTACACGTCAAAACGTAGCCTCACTTGCGTAGAACAAAATGCACTTAGCGAAAGTGATTTCTCATACTCCCTTGGGCTGTAGTAGAGGCGGGAAGCCCCAAATCTGGAGCGTAGGACATCAAAAAGTGTCCCCGGAAATTACATTCTAGGGTAAAACTTGCAATTTAACGGTGGAAGGAGGCAAAATTTCATCTTGATGAGAGTTGTACCTTGTCCGCAGTGTCAGAAAACATAAAGGTAGGAAAAGACCCGGTTAAAATCGACTTTAGGTTGGAAGAACCAGAGAAAGGACACGAAATTATCACATCTCGCGAGAACTGCTCAGATACACATTTACGACGATGTTTCATTTAATGTGTAGCATGTTATGAAAAGGCCGTTAAAAATCACTCCATGGTGGGGCGATTCGTAACACCATGCAGTTGTTTGGAAAGCGTCTCAGATTTTCAAGATTACGGATTCCAGATTGATTCAATGGAGCTGTACAGTCTAGATAAGTGGCCAGACTGCTCAACAGGCACAAGTTTCGAACCGATATGCAGAATGTTCTTTATTTTGTATAGAGAATTCCGAAATCTGTTACAAATCGCCCCACTCTCCCTTACGCGGTCCTTCCTTCCCTGTTGTCGCCCTTGGCAACAATCTTCTTGTACTCTCAGTCGGTCAATGACTCGGGGAAAACAACATGAATCTTGGTGTACGTTTCCCTTGAGCTAACGTGAAATAACGTTGAAATAACGTGAAACTTGAAATTGAATGTGCTATTTTACGAATAAGAAGAAGAAAAGAAGACGCCTACCCCACCCACCCGCATCGCCCCGCTCGGAACATAACAAACCCTCACTTGTTCGAACAAGTGAGGGTTTGTTATGTTCCGAGCGGGGCGGTACGGGTGGGTGGGGTAGGCGTCTTCTTTTTCTTCTTATTCGTAAAATAGCTCATTAAGGGTGTACCAAAGTTTTTGAAGTTGTTTGCCCCTCGGTCAATAAACCAGTGTGAGAACGCATTCTGATATCGTGTTAGGATAAGGTTTATGGCCTTCATAATCGTGAACCCTTGAGTTGATTTAATGTACGCCCGTTTTCACCCTCTGGTCATTTTCTCCATGTAGTCGTCAGGTTCCTGCTACTCAAACCCCCCCCCCCGTGATTTTGGTGTTTCGGCAGTCCACATGGATGAAAGTAGCTCAGAAACCAAGTTCAAGCCAGATTCTAGATAGCCGCGCGCCAAGTGTTTTTTGTGTGTGTGTGTGTCTGGAACACCTCTTGTTTAAGGTGTGCTCATCTCATTAAAGCCCCTTTTTAAAAAACAATTTTTGATTCCGACATTAAGATTTTAACAATTTTTTTTGTAAAATCCTTTTAGGATAATTTCCCAAACATGCTTCTTTGGGGGGCGCCAAGGGAAAGTTGACTGCTGGACTTTTTTGGAGATTTAGCAAAGAAGTAAACCGTTTGCCTGTAAGATTTGGTTCGCCCAAAATTCCAGAACGTAAGGAAAAAAATCTCGGAAAAACTCATCTCGTATTTGTAGGGCCATAAAAAATTCACCAAAATAAGGATACTGCAATTATGGGTACGGAGAAAAAAAATTTTGATTTAAACAAGTTGTTTGGTTTAAAACTTTGTTTAATGCAACTTGAAAAAAAATTTTTTTTTTTTTTTTCTTGAAAACTGCTGAGCAAAAATATTTAAAGCGACTTCTAGTCTATTCAATTGACACAATTGGGATGGGTTCTTTCCCTGAAAATTTTGTTTCCCACAGACTGAAAGTATGCGAAAAAATTTTAAGAAGCAAAATTTAAACGTTTCGACTAAATCTCCAAAAAATGTCCAAAGTCACTTCCCTTAAGCCAAAATGAAGCTTACTCATTATCTAAAAGGATTTTAACACAGAAATTGTAAAATCTTAATCCGTCTACATCAATTTTTTTTTTAAAAAAGTGCTTTTAACATGTATGAGCCCCCTTAAATAACGCCTTTGTTTGCTACATCTCATTGCAGCCCCTTTTTATCAATTTTTGATTCCGCACACTTAAGATCTCTTGTTAGATTCTTATTACTCCTTTCTTTGTAATAAATGCCTTAACAATTTCAGGTAAAATCGTTCCACAAGCATGCTTACTTCTGGGGGAGCGCCAACAAAAACGCTTACGACATAGCTGTACTTGAACTTGAAAATTGCGCAGATTCTAGCAAAGAAGTAACACCCGTTTGCCTGTATGAGGGGATCAAGCCAACATCCAAAAGTAACGTAAAGGTAAAGTAGCACTTAATCTCGGAAAGAAACATCAGTCTCGTATTTGCTAGGGCCATGAAAGGAATCCTTCCACCAAATATAAGGATACGTTCAATTATGGGGTACGGAGAACATCTTGACTCTTCCGTAACACATTTGGATTTAAGGCAAGTTGAGTTTGCGGATGGGGTTAAGGGAACTTCCGAGCATGTTTCATCCATGCAACTTCCGAGCAACCCCCTGTAAAACTGTCTACCTCTTCTCTTGTATTTTTTATGTTTTCAGGTTGCCGGCCGGGCCAATGGGACAACTGCTGAGCAGGAGACCATCGGATTAACTCAGCTTGACTTCAATGACTGTTTTTACAAATTGAGCACAAATTTGGCAGAGCTTGCTTCTTTAACTCCTGACAAGTTTTGTGCCAGAAGACGTGAAAGTAAGCCATGAGGTCTGAAAATAACCGTATTTAAGAAGTCGAGAACGGATATGCATGATGCACTGTCACTTACCTTAAAAGGGCATCAAAACGTTATCGTAAGCGTAAAAGTTATAAACCCTTAACTTCTGACTTCTTTTCAAAAGGATGAGTTCTGTTTCTAGTTTCTCGATTTTGTGTGAAGATACTTTAGGAAGTCCATACCCTTAACCTTTAGCGAACATTGTCTTGTGTTACGTTATAAAAGCAATGTTAGTTAAACGCGGTTAAATGTTAAGTATTAAAGTTAAGGATCGCTGGTCGTGGCATGCATTTAAAATTGCCAATAGTCTTTTTCCGAAACATCTTGGGATACCTCGGTATAGCCTGACGGCATCCAGGTGTTGGATGTCAACACCAGGACACACGTGCAACTTTTCATACAATCACCCCCTCCTCTCGTACCGCGACGCTCTTTTCAGGAGGTGGCAACGGCCTATAGTCGAGCCAGCCAAAGGTGGGCCTTTTGGCGACCGTTGGAAATGCGGCGGCTGGCCGAAGCATTGGCGCTGCCGTCGTTCGGGCTACCCCCTCCTCCTCCCGAAGCCCCGAACCGCCAATAGGAAGCGGTTCGGGAGGCTGAGGGGGTAGCCCGAGCGACGGCAGCGCCAATGCTTCGGCCAGCCGCCGCATTTCCAACGGTCGCCAAAAGACCCACCTTTGGCTGGCTCGACTATAGGCGGTGCTATAGCGCTCTATCCTACTACACCCGCACCAGCCCCCCCAACCCGCACGAGGTGGTGGGTTCGCTTTGGAGGGCAGCGCGGGCGGTGGAGGGCGGCGGGGGGTAGGGTCTGACTGCTGCCGCTACCTGCTAGCTGGAGCGTGCTACTGCTGCACGCTCACCATGCTCAGCGGCGGCAGGCTGGCGAGGGTGTGAGGCGCGGCAGGGTGACGCTGCTGGTGGGGACTGGTTAGGTGGGCGCGCCTATAGGGAGAGCGTGAAGCGATGCTCGCGCCGTCAGGGCAGAGGTTGCGCACTTGTTCAAGATTTATGAAAACTAGACTGTGTTTTTCGAAACGCTTTGCACCGATGGAAAGGGCTTGAAATTTAGGGTGTATTAGGCTAATTGCTCTTCTCGAAACTCCCCCCTTACCTAATATTAAGGTGCAGTGGAAACACAAAAAAAACGAGAAATCATAAAATTTAGGAAAAACTTGAATGCGCCATGTTGATGTTAATGATTCCGGCCTTGTGTTCGGTTGATTAGGGTATTTTAACGAATCCCTGGCCCGGAAGTCGAAGAACAAAAGTAAGAACAAAAACCGCTTCTGCGCATGTGCAGACGCTGCCTCAGAGTGGAGGGGGGACGTCTGCGCATGCGCAGAAGCGGTTTTTGTTCCTACTTTTGTTCTTTGACTTCCGGGCCAGGGATTTGTTAAAATACCCTATTGAAAGTATCGGGCAGTCTGCTAGGCCTAATGCACCCCAAATTTTGTGGTCTTTCATCTGTGCAAAGCGTTTTGCAATCAACGGGCTAGATCTTACAATCGAACAGGGGCGCCGGAAGTGGGGTGCAGGGTGGGCAGGCTGCCCCCCCTGGAATTCGGCAGGGGGGGCATCGCCCCCCCTGGAATTTGCTGGAAAACTGCGAAAACCGAGCCAGGCGGGCGGGCATCGGCAGCGGGGAGTATCTCCGCAGCGAGCGGAGCGAGCGAGACTCGCTGCGGCGGCCTTTCCCCCTTTCCTTCCGCTCTGCGCTCGGCTCGGCGGCGCTCGGCTCGGCTCGGCGCTGCCCGGTAGCCGCCGCCCGCGCGCTGCTGCTGCCTGCCAGCCTGCCTGACCCGCCTGGCTCCACGCTCTGCGGATGACAACACGCTTGTTTTGTTTTGCACTCGCCTCGCCCCGTCGACAACCGGCATTGTTTACTGTCGTTGTCGTTCACAAGTGTGACACAAGATGAAGAGAAGTAAGAAGAAAACTGGTGTTGGTATCAATACGATAACAAACTTTTTCAACAAGTTCACCAAAGGCAAGGAGAAAGCCCAAAGAAGAGAGACTGCCGGCGAGAGTTCTGGAAGCTCATGCGACGACCCGGATCCAAAGCGTCCATGTAAGTATCGCGCACGCGGAGAGTTGTTTTTGTTATCTTTCACATCCTTGCCCGTGTTTGACTTACGAGCCATCTTGGCTGGCTGGCCGCGGCCGCCGGCGCCCCGGCGCCGGCTGAACCTAGCTCTGTCCCACCCAACCCACTGGCACGCGACACCATGCGTCTCTCTCTCTCTCTCTCTCTCTCTCTCTCCCTCTCTCTCTCTCAGCCGCCGCCGCCGCCGGTCAGCCGGCCAGCAAACCAAGATGCCTCTCAACACCAAACACTGACGTTTTACATTTGGCCAGTAGACTGATTCCGAGAGTCGTTTTCGTCGCTCCGTCTCTCTCCCACCTATAGGTCACGCCCCATGAGTGCGAGAGAGACAGAGCGACGAAAGCGACTCTCGGAATCAGTCTGCAGCTGACCGGTGGAGGCGGCCAAATTCCTGGACGTGTTTTGAGCTGCAGAGAGTCGCTAAATGGGACTCGAACCGAACGTGTGACCCCACCAATATATTCCTCATTCGGAGAGCAATCCATTGGTGGGGTCACACGTTCGGTTCGAGTCCCATTTCGCGATTCTGGAGCTCTAGCCGCCTCGACTGGTCTTCCGGCCCACTGTAAGTTGCCCTTGCCATTGATTTTACATCAATTGTGCGTTTTGCAACATTGCAGGTAGTGTTGAACCTTCTGCATCGTCGTGTTCAACATCAGAAGCTTAATGCGACCCGACTCCTTCCGCATCCTCTCGGGTGGAAACGACGCCACTGCCCCCGCCGGCGCCTGCATCATGCTTCTCGTCTTCCTCTACGGATGGTGAATTCAGCGGCGGTGCCGGTGATTCTGCTGGTCTGGCTGAAACGGACGGCGATGGCGACCTCGGCGCTGCACCTGCGGTTCGGGTTCGTACTCCTGGTCAACACGCTGAGAAGGTGATTGGTGGCGACGACTTCGGCGCTGCCGTTGCGGATGGTCCAGCCGTCGGCAGCTCGATGAAGAAAGTGGTGCCCACTCTTCCGCGTACGCGGAACATTCCAAGTAGCACTTATGTTTTCCCTAAAACTGACGGTAGAAGTTGTCGTCTCGAGTATTTCGGCAAGTACGGCTGGTTGCACTTTGTCCCTGAGGAAGATCACTGTGTGTGTTTCACGTGCGTGAAAGCTTATGAATTGGGGAACACTGCCGCTTCGCGTGGGCATGGAATTGATGACAGTACGGACCCATTTCTCAAGACAGGCTTCAAGAATTGGAAAAAAGCTGTTGAAAAATTGAATCGACATGAAAACTCTAAGTACCACCGCGAAGCAGCCGAGTTCCTTGTGCTTGCCTTACAAAGAGAGAGTGTGGGGTCATTATTGGATGCGCAGTTGAAAAAATCACAACAGGACGCGCGCTCAGCCTGCAAAGTTGTCATTAGCTCTATAAGGTATCTTGCGCGCAGTGGCCAGGCTTTGAGGGGTGGTGAGCATTACAGTGGCAATTTAGTTGAACTTTTGGAGGAAAGGGCAGAAGAATGCCCTCCGCTAAGAGAGTGGCTCAAAAAGCGAGATAAGTGGATTAGTTCAGACATTCAAAATAAAGTTTTAGAAATAATTGCTCACACTGTAATGCGCACACTCCTTAAGGACATAGCAGCCAGCCCATTCTACTCAATAATGGCTGACGGTACAACTGATATATCTGGTGACGAACAACTCAGTGTTTGTTTTCGTTACGTTGAAAGGGCCTCTCTCCATTCATATGAAGTGTTCATGGGACTCGTCAGCGTCACAAGTGGAAAAGCTGACTATACGAAACTTACCCTTGATGACGTGTTGGTTCGCCTAGGTATTGACAAATCAAAGCAACGGGGCCATGTTTCGACGGATGTGCGGCAATGGCTGGACACTTGAATGGTGTGCAGAAACTCATCTGCGATGAGCTGCCCAAATCTATTTTTATCCATTGTTCTAACCACTCTCTAGATTTAGTCTTGCAAGAGTTAGCTCGCCAATGTGATATGTTTGGGGACACGCTTGTGCTCATCAAAGACGTTTCCAAAGCAATTTTGGAATCTGGTAAGAGAAAGGCCATGTATGCAAACATCGTCATTGAACCCTGCTTCTCAGACGACGAAACTTCTGTGGGTGGCCCTGCTGCAATTCGCCCATTGCTCTCCTTGTGCCCCACACGGTGCCCCACACGGTGGTGCATTAGAGCCCCGGCGATTCGCCGCTTTGATGAAAACTACGGTCGCGTGCGTGCTACTCTTCGCCTGTTGGTGGAAGACACATCACTGCGATTGACTGACGAGCGGAGAGCCACTCTTCGCGGCCATCTGAGAAAACTAGATCAGTTTTCCACTGTTCTGTCGATCAAGTTGGCTCTCTTGATCTGTGAACCAGCTGAGCAGTTGGCTAGAGCCCTTCAGAGTACAGGGTACACGGCAACAGGCGCCAAGCAGGCTGCCCAGGCCCTTTGGGACACCTACAATGCCATGGGGGAGGAAGAATTCGACCAGGCGTGGAGGGAAACCGAGGCCCGCAATGCAACCTGCAACATGGATCTGGAGATGCCAACTGCCCCACGGCGGCGCGCTCCACCACGCCGACTCGGCGAGGTAGGGAACGCAGCACCGGTCGAGTCACTGTCTCCACGTACGGTGCTCCGCCAGAAGTTCATCGCGGTGCTCGATCGGGTCAAAAATGAGCTTGATCGGCGCTTCAATCAGCCGGGGATGGCTCACCTGATCAAACTTGAAAATGTTCTTTTGCAGAAGAAGCCTCTTGATTCTGTTGATGATTTGAAGCATGAATTGGGGGTTCATGCTGACGACTTTGATTGTGATCTTCTATTTACTCAGCTTAAAATAGCTAAGCTTGTGGTGCCAGGAACTGTGAAAACGGTTAGAGAGTATGCTGCAGTGCTTCGTGACTTGCCACAGGTGTCACGGGAGATGATCAACCAAGTTGAACTGCTGGTGATTCTCTTGTTGGTGGTGCCCGCAACCTCCGCTACATGTGAAAGATCGTTCAGTGCTTTGCGGCGCATCAAGAATTATTTAAGAGCCACTATGACTCAAAAGCGTCTGACACACTTAATGATGTGCCATGTGCACAAAATTCGAACTTTCACTGTTTCCGTCACAGATGTTCTGAATGAGTTCATTTCAAGAACTAATGAAAGACTGCGGGTTTTTGGGCCGCCCACGCCGAACCCGTAGTTCTTCCTTGTCATTGTACTTTTGTATTGTTAATTCATTACATTATTTGAATTGTAATCTTTGCATATTTTGTAAATGTTTGATTCAATAAAATATGTTCTTTCTAATCTTTAAAGTTATGACAATACTAATTTCAACTTAACAATTTCATAAATATAATAATACGACGCCACATTCTTTTTTTTCAGCTCGAAAAACTCAGTCTGAGTGACATTTGTGAAACGTTTCAAAATGCACCTTTTTTTTGGGGGGGGGGGGGGTGATCAGGGACCTAG